CTTACTTAATAACAATAATAACCTAACCTAATAGTAATAATACTTATAATAATGATCAAAAACAAAACATACGTTTTATAAACCGGATTTTCCCTCTAATTGTATGACATCTTACAATAATTTCCAAATGTTCAAGTAGTAACACTGAAGTTACATTCCTTTCTGGTCTTCGATATTTTATATTGGCGTAATACGTATTTGGCCTCTCTATATTACTCTATGGTTTATACACGTGCTACAAACAATAACATTCGAATCAAAAATATTTCTCCGTAGCGGTTATCTATCTGTGCCCCTGGGGGCATTGATGCGATTGTATTTTATTATTATTATTTTTTTTTTTTCTAAAATTCGTTAAAAATAAATGAACGATCGTCCGGCGTATATATGTATATATATATAAAAAAAAAAACGTGATAATACATACGTAAGGCGTTTTTTTTTTCACGTCACGTACCACCACAAAACTATTAAATAATAATTCGGTACGATTTACATTATTTTTTATCTAGTAAGTATCTACACGTGTGTAGCTCGTATAATAACAATTGCGATGCGGTCGAAGTTTTGATGTTTTCGGATTGACGATGGCCGAGGGGATTACAATATTATTATTATTAGAGAAATAAACTATAGTTAATAGTAGATTCCCAACGGAACGAGGAATATAATTCTGAATATTATGGTCAAAATGGTTTTACCACAATGTGTTTTTTTTTTTGTCATTAAACAATTTTTCTAATTCTGTAATCTTGCTCCAATCAAATAATGCTTAGAGACGTTTTTTATTACATTTCGATGGCTTGGTGCATTGATATGATTTTGTGATTTTCCAAGCGACTTTCGAACAAACTAGGTAGAAAAACCAATTATTAAAATGTATTTATCTAACAATTTTTACCCAAATTTTACCTATGGTCAAGTACTGAATTTCGATAATGTTAACAATTTCTATTAACAATGTTTTTTTTTACACGTTTATATTATATGTTAATACGTTTTTATAAAACAATGAATATTAATTACAAAATAATTGATGTCTGACGTGACCGTATCTCTCCCAACCAAATCAATATTTCAAACGTCGGAATGTAATCCTTTTGGAACCAGAGGGTGCCACTCACGTTTCGCGCCGACAGGAGATAAAAAAAAAAAAATTAAAATTAGAGTACTCTCGCCTATAAGGAACGTAATAAAGAGGCAGTTGGTATATAATAACGTCTGCTGCAAAACTAAAGAGACGAGGAAACGCGCGTATTATTAGTAATTTTTTTTTTTCCCCGACCTGTTGCCCGGGGGAAATAATAATTCGCGTGCGGGGGTCGGTCGAAGAAAGAGGTTGGCGGCGGCGTGACCGAGATTCGATAAAAAAGAAAAAACCCCCGTGGCGTTTTTAAGCCACGGCGGCGGCGACCATTTTAATGTTCTTTTTCCACCTATACCGTAGAGCCCCGTGGGCCGGCGAGACCCCGCGGCTTCGGCGCTTTCTTGAAGACACGCCGGCGAAAATATTCGACTGCGGGTACACGGCCGCGGATAATAAATATTACGCTTCGAACAATTAATATTATTAATAAAATAATTAAACACGCCGACAACAGATTTATATCGGCGGGCCGTAACGATATCATTACGACACAATACGACGCACACCTACCGATTATTACACACAAACCGTCATTATTGCCCGGGCCCGTGTTTACGATAATTTTTATTAAAGGCGCGGCCGCCCGTAAAAATTATCGGTAATATTTTTAATTGGTAACGACGCATTTAGGCATTCACAATTTTAAACGATCGTTTACATACCTACGATTAAGGTGACGCGTGCATATTTTTAACGTGACAATTATCTCATATTCATTATCGATCGTGTTGAATTTAAACCATTTAGTGGGCTACTGGTTATTTTTCGTTTCACGGTTTTCGCCCGTTTGCTTTCCGACGCGGGTGTAGTCAATTTGCACCAAAATTGACCCTAAATATATACAACATTTGCAATTCGCACCAAAATTAAAATCGATTATTTTTTCGGTCTACGCACAAGTTTCGATATTGGAGTATAATAATGTGTTGAGAAGCTAAAGACACAGAATATTCCTTTCGAGTTTTAATGGTTATTTCACTCACCTATTTACACCGTTTTACGGTATGTCAGTATTGACTTCAAAGCTACCTTATAACAATAAAAAATATGACAGACATAATATATAAACATTATAATAATTGTACTATTTTAGGCAAAAATATAATTTAGTATTTGTGTGCGACAAATGAAAAGTCAGAAAGAGTTACGGTAAATTAGTATTTGGTCGGAGTAATAAATTTATTCTTTGTAAACAGAATATTGTAAAGATAAAACTTATCTTAAAGAAAACAACGATTTATGGATTTTAAAAAAATTAAGAAGTATAGGTCAGCTAAAAAATTGTCCGTTACAACCCCAATCGAATAGGCGCACTTGACTATCGAATACATAGATAGACACTCATTTCTGTGTTAATTACAAACACTATTCTCAACCACCTGTAGGTGGTGCAAATTACAAATTCACTCCGGTACGCGTTCGAGGTGAAGGGATACGGCGTTTCGGTCAGACAAGCGGCGGGAAATTTAACGCCCACAGTCAACAGTCAATCGTACAAGTGACTATACGGATTTGTCGACGGCAAATACAATTTAAATCGCACACGTCTGGGAAGTACGGCTACAATTTCGCGCCGCTTGTTGGCCGAAAACGCGGGCGCGAAAACTCTAGGCGCGCTCCGAGCCACCGACTTTCAATCACGTCTCGTGCATATGTCGATCTCGTGTCGCGGCCGCTCGTTGTCGTCGTAAACCCTGCGTACCTTCCGAATACATATTGTTACACAGAGATTATTTCGAAATTCGGGAGTCGTGAAAGACCTTTCGCCGAAAAAAAGTGTTTTTTTTTTCTTTCTTATGGCTCGTTCAGGTTTCAAAAATTTGGGTTAAAAAACCGAATATCAATATTAACTATAATAACAGGGTCGCTTTATACGTACTACGTACGGAAAAACGGTACTCACTCGTCTCGTCGGCGTCAGCAGATAGGTACCTCTGGTGGTCGATCACCAGCACTCGGAGAGCAGCCCGTCCCGCGAGCCGGGGAGGGGGTTGAACTGGTTGTTAATTTTTTGCGTAGACTCGCGCGAAAAATAATCAAGATGAGATCGACGGAAATTGTCGGCGTGTACTCTGGGGCATGAATTCGCGACGACGGCGTTCGCTGATCAGACGGGAAACTGGGCGCGAGCGCGATGATGGAGACTTGATTCTGCGAGCGACGTCTTCGGCAGACTGTATTGCGTGTAGCCGTCGTCGTAATAGTAATATAATTATTATCAGGTGTGGAGGTCGGGTTTTTTTTCTCTCTCTCACTACGCGGACGGGGATGGACGGGCGGGCGAGCAGTGGAAACGCGGACGCCGTCCTCGGGACAGCGACGGCGAGGGTTCGACAGCCGCGGGTTCCGGAACGAGGAGGGGAAACACGATTACGCTACGGCGCGCACGACCGCCGCCGCCGCCGCGCTAGCCGAACCCGTTCCGTTTGAGTCTCGCTGGTTTTTTTTTTTTGTCGTCAGATACCTACCTGCATATAGTAGTACTAATGACACACGAGTCGTCTCTGCGCGGAACAAAACTACGAAAATATCATGATATTATTTTCTGTTAGGCCCGTGCGCGGCAATGACAATAATACGAACCGGAATGACGTAAACAACGTACGAACGATGAAAATTATTAGTTGTACGGGGGGAAGGAGTGTCGGCTAGGAAAAATCCAGAGTAGAGTCCATGAAACTTATCGTCCCAGATTCTCGAAACAAACAGTATTCTTTAAGTTTTCATTGTTCAATATCATCTTAATTTTTTATTTAATTATTCCAATCATCAAAATTATCTATATTTGTGTGTTTAAATATACAGTTTTTAAGTAAATAATAGATCCATTGCATTGTTTTTATTGGTCAAAACTACACAATGTTTACACTCCCTGTCTAATGATAAACATTCAGTAAACAAAATGTTTTTTTATTGCTTGCTCTATTTGTCAGTTCCCCTGTATAGTTTTGAAATTTAGAAACGTGCACAAACAGAATTCTATTTTCAAAATTATGATTTTCCAATAATAGTATTAGTGAATATACGCAAGTTTATTTTTACATTGTATATTCAGTATGTATTAGAAATTCAAAAACATCTAGGTGATCGATAAAAATATTTGTTAAATATGTCTTGTTAATTTTTTTAAAACAAGAACCATAAAATGTATTCTATATCAATTATTCTAGAAGCAAAGTGTCTAAGATTTGAACTATATATATCTATAGAATCGTATGAGATTGTATTTCGCAAATACTGAAAAAACATGACAAATGGAATTTTAAGATATTTACTCACACTATGACATGGTCTAAAGATCAACTATCCAAGTATAAATATTTATTAACAACGACAACTCCCGAGACTGATAAAAAGTTTTATTCCAGTTACATTCTCCCTGGACTACACAAAGTTCAATTAAAGTTGGAGATATGATTCTACTAATGAAAATGAAACTAATATTCAAAACCTTTGATCAGTTATATGGCCACAAAGAACCTATATACGAAAATAAATAAATAAATTCACATACAGGTTCTTTGAGAAAGCTCTGTTCTACTTATCATCCAATTTTATTCCGAATATTCTTAAAAAGAACTATATGGTAAAGCTTTCTATACCGTGTCTAACTTAAGAGCATACCAACTTAAGCGTAGATGAAAACACACCCGCGCTTTTGTGCATGTGTTCCTATTCCCGGTTATCGGTACCGCTTCATCCACCCACCCGCCTATCAATCTTCCCACCGCACATGATATACATTTTATTTTAACGGCCTTACGCTTACACGTATATATTCTCGTACAAATGCTCAGTTTTAATTTGAATAAACGATACAGTTATCCTTTAAGTAATGTAATTTTTCTATGTTGCCCGTTGACTTGACTGAAACAGTACAGGTATGCGTGTATATTACGATTTATTCGGCGATAGGTATTATAGATATTATAACCCGCCGTATACACGCCGTCGTGGTGGCTACGACAGCGCGTGACGTACAGTCGGTATCGATTGTTTCCGATCTATCAAGTAGGTCCGACAACGTTCAGCGGTCAGTTACGTATGCACGAACGGGTATGCTCTTAAGTTGGACATAGTATAGGTGGATGGAGAAAATTGACATACAGAAGATACTAAATTGTTAGCATTAATTGTTAACAAATGACACATACACCACTTGGATATGGCAACCGGGCGGTTGTGAAGGCCAGATACAGAAAGGATGGACACCTATTGTAGTGGCCACACTGGAACTTAATAGATTACAAACAGAAATAGTAAGTACTCAAGTTGGACAAGGGGACAGTGTTTTAATCATCGCTAAAATCCCAAAACTACCCGGACATGGGTGATGAGTCATATATAAAAAAATTCCAAGATTATCTCATAAATGACTGCCGAAAATACATGGAGAATTTAAAACGAATATTGGAAGGTATGATCATTAAATTGGAAGAAACCTGGTTTAGCATTGAATTATTTAACTATGGTGAGGAGATAATTTTTAATGATGCATATATGTTAGGTGTCATTAAAAAGATCGGAAAGATGTTTCAAGATGTCAGTGATGCGCTTATCCATCTATTTCAAATAGTATTTCATCCATAAGTACTACCATGCACTCATCCACTTTAAAAGTATTTTCCATTTAATCAATGATAGAAATCATGTTATTATTACTAAAAAGAGAATACACATTCAGCTTTAACTTAGGAGATAATATCCGCTATATGATGATCAAACACCACCAATCTATTGGATAGTAGTTTCTTTCCTATTATGATTACCGAGTAATTTTGGAGGATGAGTCTATTAGAGTTTTAGTTAGTTTTATCAGAGTATAAGTTAACATACTTAAAGAGATATTAGAGATTGCGTCGAATGATCGGGCAAAAAATACCGGGCACTGATATACAAAAACTTTTATCATATAATAAGCAGAGCTCTGATAAGTTGGTAAATTATTTAATCAACCCCAAGCCTTGTATTCCGAGGGTCTATCATGAGTTAGAAAGAAATTCTCCGGACGGAGCCAAATTAAACTTCCTTTTAACATACATAGACATGCGAACCATGAAGGTCATAGATTATTCACAGACATCTAATTAAATTCACTGAAGTTGTCTAATTTAAAACAAATCGAAATTCTCGTGGTATTGTATCAAAGGATAAATAATGGAAATTTTGCTTGAAAAGATCAACTCAACTTCAATAGTTTTTTTATTTAAACGGAGGTTCAGGCAAGATCAATTCTTGAATGGCGCTATTATAAGTCGTATACAATAAGACGTTGTGGAATGCGATTTGAAATTTCCTATTTTTTAACTTCACACGACTGACAAGCGTGTGAAAATTCATACGCCTTCTTAAGTGTGGATCTAACCACACCGCCGGTAGCTTATCTCATACGACGATGAAATAAATGTTTTTAGTATTGATATTAATTAATTAAATAATTAATCAGTAGTAAATTTAATTTAATACTTATTCGTTAATTATATTTTACGTAATCATTACATGCAAATAACGATGATTATACAAGATACGTCACGTATATAAATTAAAACGATGGTTAATTTTGACGATTCGGTTGCTATTGATAATTTAGAAAACCAAATAAATTTTCAACTTCGCCCGTGTGTTAATAGGCAAATGGCAAATTTATTAACAATTTCAGATTGAGTAGACTTGGCAAAAAAGTTAATAAACTAATTGAATCCGTATTTATAATTTCAAATGTGATCATCAGAGTTAGACTCTACCACAAAGGTAAGTTGAAATAGGTACTTAGTTGATAAATCATATTTACACATAGTAAGTAATGATTTAAATGTATACTTTAGGTTTTGATAGCCCTCGATTTTTACGCTACACTTAGTTATCTAACTCCAGTTGGTAACGATAAATTCGTTTGCAGCGTCTTAACCCTCGGTGTATCTAGGTGTTTATAGAAGAAGTAACTTCTTACAGCTGTGCCTCCCAACGATATTGTGTGAAGTAGCAACGAAGCGCATTTCCACATTTCTGGCAAAGTGAACGAACTAAATTTTTCGTTACTGGGCAGCTGAAAACACTCGAACAGCCGACCTTTTCATAGTCCCGAAATAACAGTTTGGTGAGCTTTGTCCACAGTCGGCATTGATGGGACCTTAATAGTTAAAAGAGGGTGGCGTCACAGTTACTGTGACTTACAATAAGTACTGCGGGATGTTGGAAAATTCTTTAAGCCCGAAAATTGAATATTACGATAATATTAATGCCTCTGGTTTCAACAGGATGGGGCCACAGTTCATACGGGCCATATTTTACTCGCTGTTTTGCAAGAAATATTTCCTGGTCGCCTGATCTCCTTAAGAGAAAATATTGCATGGCCTCCTCGCTCACGATTTGAGCCCTTTTGACTATTTCTTATGGGGATACCTCAAAGCCGAAGTTTTCAAACATCGACCTAAAACTATTGAAGAACTAAAAAGGAAGGAGACTATCTGTTGAGAAATCTCCGGGATTCCACTCGATATGCTGGCGAGTGATGGACAACTTTCGAGAACGGTTCCAAATGTACGTCACTCGCTCGTCAAGGCATTCGTCGTCATCATTCGGATGATAATTCTTTAGTTGGTATTTTTAAAAAAAAACCTTATGTAATGTAGTTTCTATAAATAAATTTTTTTTTTTTGAAATCTTGTTTCATTAATTTTTTGAAATTGTGAGAGTCCATTACGCCGCACTCTGTATAATTAATGATTAATAATTCACGTTATTTAACATGATTGTAAACAATTAAATTAATGTCAAAATAGTTTAATATGTGACGTATGCAAAATTTCTCAGGCTATCCGTTGGATGTCTTGAAATTATTTTTACCTAAATTTTTAGCCATTTCTACAGCTGTTTGGTGTATCAGAGAACCGCTTATGGGCAAAATTTTAGCACGGACTCGGTAGAACCATTCGTTATATACACGATCCATTCCAAAGCCTTTACCTTTTGTGAAATTCATTTTTATTGTCTTTCCATTACTACCGTTTTCATCACACCAATTATGCAATATCTTTACCAGTGTTAATTTTTTCAGGCAATTTTCGTCCTAATGATAACTACAGTATTTGAATAAATAATTTATTTATTCTTTGTATTCATCAAACCAAAGACAATTCAGCTACAGTTATTAAAAATAAAATAAAATTTTGAGTAATACTCATCAAGCACCATCATAATAAATTTCTCATTTTCTGTTCTTTCGTAAAATGTGTGCACATAACTGTCCAACACACTATAGCAGCGGCAATATAGACAATAAACCGTATCAATCAATGACCGTTCAAAAGTCAAAAATGGGCAAAAAGTTCAAGTGCAGTCGTACTCGCGACAATTGTCTCAGCGAGAGTGTACAGAACACGACACCCTACGAAGTAAACGTTTCATAAGAATCAACACAAATGATGCAATATATGCAATAAAATATAAAGTAGGCTGGTTCAGTGAAAAACACGTTACATAATCTGTACGCCAGCGAAAATTAAGTCACAATAGCTAAGAGAAATGTATTTCGGAACCGAGATACCATAGACCTTAAACGGTCATAGAGGGCGCTCTTTACGTTCACGTGGTAATATTGTACATTGTATTAGACATACAAAGCAACACTAATGTGGATTATAGTGCACACCACTGTAGTACTGTAACGATCGGTTACTGCCACGGCTAGTCTATAGGCAAGGCCGGTTCATTTGTATAAGTTCTACGGGGATTACTGTACCTCGTATTAGAGACAGTACGCCACGACTATACAGAAGAGCGCCGAGATGTTTAATAGTCGGTCGGCAGCACAATAATGAATAAGCCTCGACCAGCGGTCTATATAGTATATATACGACTGAGTCGTCGTACGGCGGCGGCAGCGGTGGCATATTAATGCGACAACGTGGTCAGCAGTAGCCTTACGGGTTATAGCAGCGCGGAGATGTTCACCGTCCGGCAGTTGGCACGAGAATGCCAAATAAACGTTGACCGGCGGCCTATTTAAAGGCCGCGAGGCCGCGTCGTCGTACAGCGGCGGCGTATTTATGTGAGTAGAGAGCGCGTAGCATGTCGTCACGCACACTGAGGGTTACCGACTATCAAATTATATGATGTAGGACAATTTTTTCACGTTTCATTTCATTAGATATATAATAAAACAATGCCTCGACCAGCGGTCTATATATAGTATATATACGACGGAGTCGTCGTACGGCGGCGGTGGCATATTAATGCGACAATGTGGTCAGCAGTAGCCGTACGAGTTTAAGCAGCGCGGAGATGTTCACCGTCCGGCAGTTGGCATGAGAATGCCAAATAAACGTTGACCGGCGGCCTATTTAAAGGCCGCGAGGCCGCGTCGTCGTACAGCGGCGGCGTATTTATGTGAGTAGAGAGCGCGCAGCATGTTGTCACGCACACTGAGGGTTACCGACTATCAAATTATATGATTTAGGACAATTTTTTCACGTCTCATTTCATTAGATATATAATAAAACAATGTAATATCAGTAGAATAGATATGAATTTTAACAAATAAAATCTACATTTTATTTATAGTGTTTTTTCTAATCTTTATTTACTCATTTGACTTAGAGAATTCAATTGACATTTTAACAATTTTTTAAATATGCAAATTATTAGTAAATTGAAAATAAGTAAGTACATTTTTTATTTAAAATATGTAAAAATTACAACGTGTAATAAAATATTATCTATATTCTATTAATAATTAGTTATACACAATAATCATCAAATTTTAGAAATAAATAATGAAGAATAACCAATAGATATAGAAAATTCAACATATCTGTAGCAAGTTGAAATATTTAATATATAATTATTTACTGTCTCAAATTACTATAGTAGGTATGTAGGTGATAAACGATAACTTAATAAATTAAAAGATATACACCTAATAATGAACCATTGAAAGATATTTTTTCATATACCTTAAACTATAACCAGTATAAACAATTAATATTGACATTGAAATGTAGAATTATCCTACATAAAGTTTAAAGCATTTATGGTTGTAAGATAAATCAAACGAATGTAGGACGATTGGCAACCCTACAACACAATGGCACGTCTGTTATGGAGTGTGAACAATATTGGTAGAGGTAGTAGAGACTAGTTTAGAAGACTAGCTTTGTATGGCCTAATTATTTTCGACTCCCATGTTATTTCTAAATGCAAATGTCTGTAATTTAATTTATATGAGTATATATACTAATTACAGGTTAAATATCTTGTGTTTAATCAAAAAGGTACGGATATACTTCGCACGATGGGCCAATGTGTAGGTGAGAAATTGGGAAGTTAGGATATAGAGGAGACTTTATTGTGTATACTATACGCAACGATTAATCTTTGCTAACGAAAAACGATTCTGAGCGGAGTTCAGTTTTTGGTTTGGTAATTCGACAATGGAAAACAAAATTGATATTTTCTTTTTTTTTCGTGTTAAGCACCTAAAAATAAATAAACGTTTTGGATTTGTTTATGCATTGCGAGATCAAATAATAATATCGGTTCATATATTCTCTATAGCAACATATAGTTCTTATGAGTGTATATAATATGCAATTACCTTACACGTATTTGTTTATGTTAGTTAAAAATATAACTGTTTTGATAAAGAAAATTTTAACAGTACCACACCAACAAAACATAAAACTTCCCATACAACACACGACAGCAATTTAAAACCAATTGCAAACGTTAAAAAAGGTAAGTAAACTATAAATACTGCTTATTTCAGGATAATAGAACTATATATTTTTTTGCCGTGCTAAATAAAAAATTTTAAAATCCGATAAAATAGACGTCTCAAACGGTCCTGGCCTAGAGATTTTTTATTTAATCTGTCGGGTAGCAATACTGAGTGCCCTCCCTAATCTGTTAGTCCCGCTTTGTATATTTATATTTTTAATCAAAATTATTTATTGTACGTATTGAAATTGTATAGATTGTAATTATATTTTTAATCAATAACAAAAAAAAAAATCTATTTAGTAGATTATTGCAAGATATTCTCTTTTTTTGTCGCAACATACATACCATTTGCAGCAATTTAGACAATTTTTCGATTGATTTAATAAAGTAATACAAATAATTATAACAGATTTACTAAAATTAAATTTAAAAAGTGGCCTAACCTACGTAAACTCTTTATTTGCTTTGTACATACGTATGAAATAAGCGATATTGTTTGTTTGAGATGGCGTCACAGCAAAAGAAAATTACTACGAGAACTGCTGCGGCGGTTACTAAAGCCGGAGCGTCTAATCAAAAGACCCTTATTAAAAATTCCAACTCATTATTGCTGGGCTCCAATTTCAAGATTGGCAAGAAAATAGGTAGTGGAAACTTCGGAGAAGTTCGACTAGGAAAAAACGTAGTGACCAACGAAGACGTGGCCATAAAAACGGTATTTTTAAGATACTGATTATATAAAATATAGAGTAATCAAATTTTTTTTTTTTTTTTATATCATAGAGAATTTTAAAAATGTTCTCATTTTCAAAATTGATAGTATATTTTATTTAATTCAAGTTTTTTAGAATCTAAGCGTAAAATGGTATCTAATATTTTAAATTTTATAATATTTATAACTATTTTGACATTATTTAATAACCTGCCTGATAACCTAATCACGAACGGCTTTGTGTATTTTACGTTATAATAATGTTCATATACATTGACAATATTTTAAAAACCAGTGATGTATTTAAGGGGATGCGTGAGGTAGAGCCAAAAATCAAATTTGATACGGAACTATAAAAAATTATTGTAAAAATTTTAATATACCAAAAATAGGTTACCCGAAATAGGTTCACATTTTCTTGTTTAAAATGAAATCACTTCAAAACAATATGAACGATAATTTTAGAGCCAATTTAATTAAAATTAAATTATATACATGTATAAATTAATAACAATTTCTTTCTTTTTTTATTGTAGGTGCATGTTATTGTTTAACATGCCTGTTTCAAAGTTCTATGTCTCCATCCTTGAAACATTCTAAATACCTCACAAACTATTGTATATATATATTATTAATAACGATATAGTGAATTAGATAAAATAGACAAATATAATATTATTTCTTAAATTCATTGTTGCCACACTCAAAGGTCAAAACTTATAAGTTAAATACAATTAAAATGAAGTTGCTTAAAATTAAGATTGAAATTAAATCATTGTATCATTGTAACCTAACCTAACCATATGTATATAGGAGTCTGCAAGTGCAAAAATCCCACAACTCATATTTGAATATCAGTTTTACAGACTAATAGGAGCCACAGGTAAGTGATCGTAAAAACGTTAAATGTATTTCATATTTATTTGTGTATATTAATGTATACATAATTTATTAATTAATTTAAGATTCTGAGCGGAGCGAGGTATTTATTGGTTTTACAATGGTGTTTATTTTCTTTTTATTTGTAAACAACTTTTCTACCAGCAATTTTACTCAGATTTTCACGTGTAGCACTTTTTCTGAAAGTAAATCTGACTGGGAAAGTACTTAAGGGAGGTTTTTATAATCAAATTTGCTTCATATTTTTACGCTAATTGAATAAGATAATCAAAACCTAGATGGAATTTCCGAAAAGATAATTGGACTAACTTCAAACTATAACTTGATAATGACATAAGATGGATCCCTCCAGTTCCCCAAAACTACTCTCGCTTCATTAACCTGGTTATTGCAACAGCAAAGAAACATATTCCGAGAGGATATCGCAAAGAATGCATCCCGTGCTGGGACAAAGAATCCACCAGACTATTTAACCTCTTTAACAAAACACCAAATAGTGATATAGCGAAAAAACTATTGGATTCACTAACTTCATCTTGCAAAGAAAGGTGGTTGACCACGGTAGAAAGCTTGAATTTTAAATTCTCTAGTAGAAAAGCCTGGCTACTACTAAGAAAATTAGATCCAAATTCCAATAAGAACAAAAGTAAACCACCAAACATAAACCCTGATGTTATAGCGAATCGAATAGTAAAAACCTCCATGGCGCCCATGGACAAACCATTTAACAAGAGTGTAAACGCTGAACTACGAACCTTAAAACAAAAGGCTAAATCCAAATCTGAAATTGCTCGCAATTTTTCGCCCAAGGAAGTAGAAGTGTCTATAAACAGTTTAAGAAATGGGAAAGCATCTGGGATAGATGGTATTTCTCCAGAATTCATAAAGAACTGTGGCCTACGCGTAATATCATGGCTCACAAGATTTTTCAATGAAATTTTATCCACTGGCTATCTCCCACTAATTTTTAAGAAATTGAAGATAATCGCAGTTCTAAAGCCTGGCAAGCTCCCTAACGACGCAGCAAGTTATAGGCCAATCGCTCTGCTCTGCACTTGCTATAAACTACTTGAAAGGCTCATCTACAACCACATAATGCCAATCATCAACCAACATGTTCCTATTGAACAAGTAGGATTTAGACCTAATCGTAGCTGCTGTGACCAAGTTTTATCTCTCACTACTTTCATAGAAGACGGCTTCGAAAAGTGCTTGAAAACAGCCGCCACATTTATTGACTTATCCAGTGCTTACGACACAGTATGGAGAAAAGGCCTGCTCCTCAAGTTCTTACGAATAATTCACTGCCAGACATTAAAAAATCTTCTAAATAACATGTTAAGTAATCGTCAATTTGTCATCCACCTCAATAACGACACAAAAAGTAAGAAGAAAACGCTGAACAATGGACTACCCCAGGGATCTGTTCTAGCTCCGCTACTATTTAACCTATACATTAGTGATCTACCCAAGACAGCCTCCAAGCAATTCATATATGCGGACGATATATGTATTGCAAACCAGGATAAACTTCTTGATAATTGCGCAAACATGCTTAGTTCAGATCTCCAAACTTTAGATAAGTTTTTAATACAATGGAGACTTACCCCAAGTCCCAGTAAAACCGAAACCACAGCTCAATAAAAAAATGGCAGACTATAACCTGGAAATTACCTACCGAGGAACCAGACTAAAGCATGTTCCCCACCCAAAATATCTGGGCGTCACTCTGGACAGGACACTGACCTTTAAAACCCACTTAACCAAAGTTGCATCTAAGATTGACTCCGGCATCAATATAATTTGAAAATTGACAGGTACAGATTGGGGCGCTGACTCCTTGACGCTGAGAACTTCTAGTATAGCTTTAGTCTGCTCTGTCGCTGAATACTGTTCTCCGGTATGGTTAAATAGCACACATGCAAAAAAGGTGGATATCAAACTCAATCAAAACATGCGCAAAACAGGCAAAATCAAGACTACCCCCCTCGACTAGCTACCCGTTCTCAGTAGCATCATCTCTCCCCAACATCGACGGCAAACAGCGTTACTTAAATTGTGGTCAAAACTCAATAACAATACCACCCATCTAATTCAAGAACACTCTAAATTCTATAACAACCTATGCATACGCCGACTTAAGTCACGTAAACCTCCGTGGGAAACTGCTATTAAACTTAACACTGCCAAATATGACGCAGTACAATGCTGGAAAGATGAATGGGAAAAATCAGAATTAAGTAACTCATCGCTCATTAAAAACCCTACAAACAAACAACCTGGCTTCAATTTACCACGGAGAATTTGGACAACCTTAAACCGATTACGTACAGGTCATGGAAGAGTGGGACATTTTACGCACAAATGGGGAGTTACTTCTAACCCAGGTTATGACTGTGGTGCCCCCAACCAGAACATAGACCATATCATACGAGAGTGCCCTAAGAGAAAGTTCGGAAGAAAGCTCGAGGAAATTTTTAACGCGACCCCTGAAGCTATCGAATGGGTGAAAAGCCTGGACATTATTCTATAGTCATTATACTTTTATACTGTTGTTTATACCAATTGTCATTATATTCTGTTTTGCTACCTGCTTATTACTATACATAAATTATATATATATTGTTTCATTGTCTATACCATACGAATAAATAAATAAATAAATAAGCTAATAAAATAACATTGTAATATTGTAATAATATCTGAATAATATTGTTGTTCTGGTACAATTTAGATAAATCTCACACAATGGAAGGCATACCAAAAGTCTATTATTACGGATTGGCTGAAAACCGGTGTAACGCATTGGTTTTGGAACTCCTGGGCCCGACGTTGGAAGATTTATTCAAAATTTGCGACAGAAATTTTACAATGAAAACTATTTTCATGATTGCCATTAACACGGTATTATCGTCAAGTTACATCAACTACATATTAAACTAATAGATATTATAATATAACGTCATATATTAGCTTCATAGGATAGAAATTGTACACGACAAGGGAATCGTGTACCGTGATGTGAAACCCGAAAATTTCGTCATCGGCCGACACAAGATGAAAAAAGATAATCTTATTTATATAATCGGTAAATAACAATTGATAAAAGAAAATAATAAATATAAATATATATATATATTATATATATTCATTTAACTGTAGATTTCGGATTGGCCAAAGAGTATATAGATCAAAAAACTAAAAAACACATACCATACAGGGAGAAAAAAAACCTCGTTGGCACGGCTAGGTACATGAGTATTAACACTCATCTCGGAAAAGGTAGGTGATAAATTAATAAATGGAAATATTTTCATATACTTGCACTTCTTTTTTTGGGGGGGGGGTTCCCAGAACAAAGTAGACGTGACGACTTAGAAGCACTCGGTCATATGTATATGTATTTGGCGAGGGGAAATTTGCCGTGGCAAGGGCTAAAAGCGCCCAATTCAAAGGAACGATTCCATAAAATTGGCGAGATGAAACGGAACATTCCGATCAGTAAACTGTGCGAAGGATATCCGGGTAAAAACCACTAAAATATAACATTAAAATCCGAAATATTATCACGATGGTTTTTTTTTAGAAATAGCCGAGTACTTACATTACGCCAGACGTCTTGAATTTAACGAGAATCCCGACTACATTTACATGAGAAATATTTTCATAGATTCTCTTAAATTGAAAGGATTAGCAGACGATCGACAATTCGATTGGCTGGAGAAAGTGGTGGTAAGATTTTTTTTTTAGAATATAAGTTGAACGGTTTATGTAAGTATTATAAATAAATTATTATAGTCAATGTTTTTCCTCTGTTTAGAATTGTCTAGTCTCGTACTTAACCTTGTTGAGGATCAAGTCGTAGGAGAAAAAATATTATCTTGGCAATGTATTCTAGATTGTTGGTTTAGCTGGTTTTATTTAGCTATATTCTATTAATTCGTAGAATTTATTTCTTGGATGACTCAAAAATGTGTTCTCGCTTTATTTGTAACATGTTTTTCAAATATTAAAATATTAATTTGTTGTCACCATATTATACCCCACAGCTGTTTTAATAATGACAATCGCGATTAGTAAGGTTTATCATGATTACCGTAATCATGTTTAACGAAACCGTGATTAATGTGATGAAATTCATATGACGATAAATCATGGTTAACTTTTAACCCCGATTACTTTAATCCAGTGCTCGAAATAGACCAAAACGGCCTTTTGGTTCGTAATATTGGCTTTTGCGTCCTTTCCGGTTGGTTAAAATTTAAATATTAGAGTTTCGGCTCCTAAGTTATTAAAGAAACTAAGACACAATTTCTACTAGTTGAAATGTTTTCGTTCAAGGGAATTAAAATAATTAATAATGATTTGTACAATAAATCAAATTTTCTTTTGACAAATTTATAATAATAAAAAACGATATCCACAGCGCTTGAATTTTACATATTCCCCAAATACAACCGTTTGTGTCAAAATAAAACGTTATTGCAAATATCCGATTTTGAGAACTCTGTTTAATGACTCTCTGTATCTGATAATTTTGATTGGAAAAATGTATTGTGTATCACTAAAACTGGATTAAAATAAAATAAAGTGTTTTCAATATTATTAACCATCATATGACATATCAATTTTGTAACCAATGCGGTTCATAAAATATTCTATTTCGAGCATTGCTTTAATTTGATTAGTGTATTTTGGTGAAATCAACCCTTAATATAATAATTTAAAAAATAAAACCATTTATAAATGTTGTATGCTCACATTTATGAATATTGAATTATAACATTATTTCTAAAATGCATAATATACTTACATATTGCACTATAACGTTCTTGATTAATACAAATTTTTTACAATAATTTTTCCATACAAATAAATCTTATTTAATATATTTTGTACAAGTCGTATTATTCATAAAATAGTTTATGAGATAATATTATATCCCTAGATCACATTCGGAATAAAATTGCTAGATGCCCAGTGTATATTTTAAGATTTCAACAATGTTTTTAACTATTATCGTTTTATAATTTTAATAAATTATTTTTTCGCAGAATTCCAAATAAAATTCACAAGTAACGGACGAAAATCATACTTATCTATACAATTTTTTACTCGAATTTAAGAAGTTTACGTGAAGCGAAAACTTCACTCTACACTGCAATAGTATACCTATACATGCATAATAATTTAATATTTTGTACTTAAAAAGAAAAATATACATTTAAATGATTGAAAAATTGCTTCTATTTATACAGTAAAACTAACTTGTAACGGTCACCGAAGGAACCGGAAATAATGACCGCTATTTAGAGGTGTCTTTGAAAAGGCATAACACTTGACGGGACCAAAAAAAAATTACCGTTACATACAAAGTGACTCTTAGCGAAAGTTTTACTGTATAACAATCAACAAAAAAAAAAGTAAATCCAAACAAACCAGTGTTTACTATTATTAAATTGTACTTAATACAATTTATTTCCATCCCGGTACTGTTCCCTTTTCTGTAGCCAAGGAGAATGCACATTTTTCCACTGCTAATAACAAGCTTTGCAAAGTATTCGTAGTTTTCAGTACATGGAGAGGAATCTACCGTACGCTATTATCTAATTTCTTAAGTTTTAGTTAATTTGGGCTAATTAGATTTTTGAAAATTTCACCTTACCTTGAGTATTGATATTCGATTTCTATGATGACCGGTCTGTGTTGGCTTTTTGGAAAATCCGTTAGGAATTTTCTTAGAGTTGGTATAGTGTTATGTGTATTTGGTCCGTGGAAATAATTTAGTTATTAAGTTTTCAATATAAAGTTCAAAGCTTCAATACAATCTGCAAGTTATTCTCCGTAATTATTGTTTTTCCCATAATCCCATATGGCAGTGGTTTTCATTTTTTTCAGGATCGTAACCCACATGGTTTTACTATTCAAAACGTAATTTATAAAAACAGCTGGGAAAATAAAAAAGTACCACCCCAGTCAGATTTTCTTTCAAAAACTTGGAAATCGGAATGAAATTGCTGGTAAAAAAGTTGTTCACAGATAAAATAAATTAATTAACTCCACTGTAAAAAACGCACTTCGCTCAGAATCTAAAAACATTCATTTCTTGGAATCTATATGATTAAAACCAATTTTCGCGACCCACCAACAATTGACTCGAGACTCACCAGTGAGTCACGAACAATTAGAGAAACTCTGCCATATGGTATTATGACTATTAAAGTCACTTATGCAAATTGGACTGAGTGAAAAGGGGTAGGCCACACGATGTTCAGGGGTTTAAATTTAAGATACATGTAAATTTCCAACTTAATGTAGATGTTGTTTTATTCAGAGGTTTTGGTGTGATTCACTTTTTGAATCGGGTTTATGGAAGTGGCGAGGTCATATTTTCTGTGAAAGGTAGCACCAGCAATTTTTTATTCCGTAATGAGAATTATTTTTAATATATAGTCCTAATTGGCTATATGAGTTTCCTGGACAACAAGCACGTACATTTTTTCTTCAGTCACGATTATTTTTAGTACTTCCGCTTTAGATTTTTTGAAGCCTTCGATATTCAATTGCATAAAAAATACAAAATATTCGTCACAATATACACAAATTATTCGTCAAATTAAAAGAAAATATGGTCATGAAATACAGTAACAGCTATGAATTCTCAGTCATTACGCCCAGAACATATTGAGATATTTAATAAGAACAACAATGTTGTAAAGTGAAAATACACTGAACATTGAAAAATAAGACAAGTTAGATAACGGTACAATCCAGAGTATGGCTAACAATTTGTCCCAAAAAAAGATAACAGATTCCTTAAATAACATAATATGAAATATCATATATGCATAATTTTCAAAAAATATGTATAATATATTAAATAGTATATAATAAATACAATGTAACAAAATTGTTCACATCTCTTTTGTTCGAATTATATATTTTTCCCTTCTCCTTGATAAAAGAGTTATCAAATTTATAGAACTGTTTTTAATTTTCCGTTACAGATAGCTGGCTATCGGTTTCATATGATTATATACAACCCAGCATTAGTTATAAATTAAACAAGCTGTTAAGGCTGAAAACGCAACCGACTGCAATAATTTGTTGCACAACTTTCTGTTGCGAAAGATATTGACGCACAAAAAAAAAAAAATCGTCTACGACATTTTTAAATTGTTTCATTGCAAAAAGATTATTTCTATAAATTTTATCATCAGTTGCTGTTGTTGTATTTTTAGTGACAAGTGTTTTTAGTTTGTCTCCTAATTAAAAAAAAACATGGTTAAAGAAGTAGACGTGAATATTTTGTTGTGAAAATTTTTAGAGTTATTGGAATTAGAAAATGAAAAATAAAATAAATTTTGGATTCACCTAATCAACCAAAAGAGAAATATTTCTGGTTTTATTCTTGAACTAAGAAACGATCCAGAAAATTTTTACAAATACTACCGAATTCAAACTTTTGACGAGTTCTTGGGTCTAGTTGAAGACAGAATAAAGAAGTTGATTACAAATTTTAGGAAGAGTATTTCAGCTGAGGAAATATTATTGATAAGGTAAGTTTAAAGGTTTATTTATTTTTTGTACTTCATTTTTAAATACAATATTATTTTGTATAGCAATATTGGGCGTATTTTAATTTATTTAACATTATATCATTGTGTCATCTATGAATCATATTGTAATATCAATTGATTTTGTGATGTTGATTCCTGAATTGTTGCTGGTCTTCATTGATTGGTAGTCTAACATTTACACAACCAATCGAATGTGGTCTAATATGACTCGTATATGACGAAGATGTGTTATCACTGAGGTTGGAGGGTGGTCCAGATGAGTTACAACTGTAGACAGTCTGCATAGAGAGGGGACCTCTTGAATTGTATAATTCAAAATCTTCTCGACTATCAAGCATTGAGCTCAATAGTTCCATCACTTTTGCTTTAAAAGTACTCTGTTTTCTTGAGTTTACATCAGGCACAAGGCTTTTAAAAAATGTAATGTAGGATCCTTTGATTCTTGACTTTTACCTTGAGATTGAGCTTGAGCTTAAGATATTCAGCCATAAGACCTGAGATGACTTCTGCATCAGAAGACTTAACTGTCTTATTATTTTTTCTTTAATTTGATGAGAATGGTGGTGATGTGGTGGTGACGTCTTGTCCCTCAATATTGTCCAATCCTGATTAATTAGAACTCGATTTCTTCAGAAATAAATTCACTACCATCCTCACTAAACCCTACTTCAAAATTTTCTAATTCTTCACTGACCTTCACCACGGTATTGGGCTCAGAAAGGTAACTAATCATTTTTCTTTGCAATCCAGCATATAATTTGCCAAAAACGATATTGCATCAGCCAAGTATCGCTTTTTCTTTTTAGCAACAGATCCACTAGGAGCAATATTCACTTTTCAAAGATATCGTGTGTACACTGTTCTAAGGGAATCCCAATTAGATTTATATTGAGCAACTTAAACAGAAATAACAACAATAAGATTATTTAAGTTCAATAATTTTTGTTTTAATAATAATTAGTTAAAATAATAATGAATTTAAATTACAAAAAATAATTTTAATTTTAGATCTTGTGAATTCCGTAAATGTTTTTTATTTTTAGAAAGAGCATCTTCTGTAGGGAAAACTCAATTCAATTTTCAAGTTTCTTTGTCCAGAAAAAAAAAATGTTTTTAACATATTACTAAAAAAAATCAAAAATAATTTTACCGTTTTAAATTCATCCAGTGCACGATATGCGCATTGGTGCTTCAACAGCACGAAAAATAATAAATGAAATTTGCATCGCTCTATGGGAAATACTTTCTCCTATTTATTTAATGACTAACTCAACTCCAGAAAAACGGCGACAAATTTCTTTACACTTTGAAGAGATATGAAATTATTCAAATGTTTGTGGCAGCCTGTATTCAACAGCTATATTATGGAGAATCGGCTTATTACAATTATAAAAATTATAATTCAATAGTACTACCAGAGGTTGTTGATGCGGAGGGTAATATTTTAATCGTAGACGTAAGAGAAGCGGGAAGAACAGTGATGGAGGTGTATTTGCTGCTTCAAATTTCGGAAAAAATTTTATCAAGCAAACGTTGAACTTGTCACATCCACGAAAAGTAGATCCCTCAAAATAAATTCTATTTCCTTCTGTATTTTTGGCACAAAGTGCTTATTCATTGAATAAAAATATGATGGAACCTTTTGCGCGATCATCACTTACGTCAGACAGCAAAAAAAAATGTATAATTACAGACATCCTAAATTTTGTCAAATTGTCGAATGCACATTCGGAATAACAAAAAATTGTATGTACTTCAACGGCCTTTGTTAATCCATCTTGATTTCGCAAGAACAATAACTTTGAATTGCTGTATTTTACACAATATGATTAGAAAGAAGGAAGGAATAATTTCTGATGTACACAATGAAAATTTGAAGAGTGTGACGTAAGCAAGAAACCGATAAGAGCTTCCCGAAATGCATATAAAGTTCAAGAAAATGTTGTTGACTATTTAGTTTCGCCAATTGGTTCGGTGTCACGGCAAGAATTTATGGTTAGGCTTTATACGTTCATGATGTTTAAATATGTGTTTAGTGTAGTGTTACCACTGGGTGATTCCTCTCATCAATTCATTCATGTTTTTATTTTTTTTTCATTTACCACATATTCTTATTGTTCCTCAAGGAACAGATTGTATATTTCGTATATAAAATTAAAAAATTAAAAAATTTTATTTTTCAATATATTAAAAATAAATAATATATAAATAGTACACCTGTAATTTAATTCTTGTCAAATTTCGCTCCACATTTGGTTTACGACATCCTGAATGAGATGATCGTTTAAATTAAAATTATTTAATGAGAGTCGGGCCTCAACAAGCACGAGTAGTCGATCGGCGTCAATATCCATATTAATGTTACAAAGTACAAAATACAAATACAGTTAGGTATTATACGATTGTATATAATAATAATACGTAATATACGACTGAGCGCTATGGGTGTTGCGAACAAACTATTGCAGAGGTCTACGGCAGAGCAACATCACCATCGTGTTGCGATAAATTGCGCAACGTCGCGAGTCAATGTGCGCACCACTATCATTTGATTCTGCAGAAAATGCAGAGAGCGTGCAACGTTACGCAACGTTGCGAGACGTTGCACAACAGAATGTTGTATTCGGTGCTTCAATTGCTACTGGATCCAACAAATAAAAGTTTATGCATGCCAATCAGAGAATCAGTATCATCTGCAGTAACTCTGAGTATTCCTTGCAAAGCTTATCATTATACGAGAAATAAAAATCAATTTCCATTGCTCAGTAAATGTAATTGAAATGAATAAAATGGCATAATTCATATAAAGACTAATATTCCGTAATTGAATAGTACATGGTTACAAAAACGTATACAGTTCTAGTTTTTAACCGAAATACGGATACTTAGGACCGGTGCATACGTACGGTTTTTGACGTTGTAGCATAGCAACGGCACCGCAGTGGTTGAATGCACACGTGCGGTAACCGCACGTCTAACGGGCGGTATTCTTCGTGGAATATCATTTCAGTTGGGATTCAAACACAGACTACTGATATTTATTCCAAAAAAAAGGTAATTTTCGCATAATTGGTGTTCAAAAAATATCTACCGACGTATAATAAACGAAGGCCCATTTAAAACACCCGACAAATATTCATCAGAGCACTTCTTTTTTTGGTACGATCATCCGCGATGTTCCAGATCTCTTTACAATTTTAAATTTCATCGATAAATATAGCTCGATGTCAACGTTTTCAATGTCAGACATTTTGCGTCGAAAAATCGTACGTGTGCATGAGTCGATAAACGACAATGTACCGTGAACCGGATTTGCTGGTGCTGTGCCGTTGTTATTTGCGGTCAATTAAAAATTGACGAAAGATGGACGACGTGTGCATTGTACAAATTTGATTACACACGCCGTGTATTTACGGTGCCGTCGCCGCGAAACCGGGCTAACCGGACCTCGTCTATAGCCGTACGGAAATGGCTACACGGTCGGCAGTAGGCGCAATGAATAATTGTCGACGAGAGCGGCCGGTGCATACAACAATGTAGATGTACGGCAGTCGCCTATTTACGCGACCGCGTTGTCGGCCGTCATCATACGAATAAAATAGCAGTGGACTCGTGACTAGTATGCTAGTATGCTACATAGTGAGTATGCTCATCGTGCAGAAAAGATATCTATAAACATAAATGCACGATAATTGGGAAGTTGTGCAATGCAGATTAAAAAAAAAAAGGAAAAAGTATCACAGACAACCGAAATATTAATTCATATAATAATAATAATTATAGTATAGTATAATATAATAATATTATCATCAACCCGAAAATTTATAATATTTGTATAAAATATAAGTACTACTGTAACTACTGTAATTACGTTAGTAATAATAATAAACGTAATGAGCATAAAATAAAATTACTGGACGGATATCACGCGGTTACGCCGCCGTAATATATGAAACTCTTATGAAAAGAGCGGTTGACTACAGCGCGCGAACCGCTAAACGTAAGCAGTAATAAGGTAGAGTAGTTGGAGAATACCGGCGATGGACCTCGGGTTTTAGGCGGCCGGTCGCGGGGCACGGAACAGCAGTTCGAGACTGCCGCAAGGAGATGTTCCCTAGTCGAGAGCCGGCGAAAGAGTGACGAACGGCCGACTGCTGGCGGCCTATTTATACGATTGTGCCGTCATACGGCGGCGGCCGATAATGAATGGTAACGCACAACCGTGTACGTGAGCACGTTCCAAAGCACACATTTTGCTATTTTGGTGCCTTTTGCTTCCTAAAACCACATTGATCAGTTTTAAATAAATTTCTATTTTACTAACCATACGTCGGTTAACAACTTTTGTTATAATTTTTTATGTGTGCGTGAATAAAAACTCAGTGTTCTAAATTGATCGCATGTATTAGGTTTTTATTTTTGGAAGATGGTCACAATTATGCGGTTGCAATAATCATCTAGAATTTGTTAATTTTAGTATACATTTTTATATATGTGAAATTGTTACATGTTAAATGCTATTCAACTGTTAATTTTAGAGTTTTTCGTTTAACAATGTAAATCGAAGAATAATTGTAAATAAAATATTTTTTCAAAAATACAAATAATATTGGCCAATATGGAGGAATCCGTTTTTTAATATATCGGTTAATTTCAATATTGACTCACAGTATATTATAATTTTAAATATCGGATCGTTTATTTGTAGCAAATATTTAAACATCGAGCATAAACGACACTTTTTTCAAAATCAACGTTTTGCATATTGTCGTTATATAAACAGCATAATTCAGTATAGTGTATTAATACGTAAACATCGGTGTTGTCGTAAAAAGTGACTATGAAGTGTGATACTGACTTGAACAGAAATAAATAATTCACATTTTATTACAAATAAATCTACTCCCTAGTTGTAATAAAATCGCGGACGCAACTAGAACAAAATAACATTTATGAACGCAATTCGAATGCGTCGGATTTCATAATTCCATCACCTTTCAGCATCTTCATTAAGTGGTCTCTGTTACCTTGTTCCAATATCTTCTCTCGCAGCTACTTCTTTCCCACCGACGTTCTTGCTGAATTGAACGTTTGCATTCTTTGTATCAATGAAATAAACTTTATTTTCATTTTCTTGAACCAATCATTTTCTATCAACTTCTGTCTGTTCAGCTGTTTGACAATATCATATAGACAGTCTAACGTGGAACACTTTAGTTCACTTATTTTTATCTTACTGAAACACACCGACTGCCGTATCTATATAGTAAATTCACTCATTTCACTAATTGGATATCCAGATAGTAAAATTCGTCTAGATCGTGAATTTTGTAATAGTAATACACTCCAAATGTATGTTTTTCTAATTTCTTTCTTGATCTTAAACTTAGATGTTTATTAGTAAGAAGTGTCCTTTTTTTCTCAAAAGCGTGTTTTGCTAATGTAATTCGTCTTCTTATTTCCTTCGTAGATTTGTTGTCGTCAGTCATCAAGCTACCTAAGTAGCAGAATTATTTTACTTCTTGTAATTATTCATTGTTAAGCGTTATGTTAATATTTGTTATAACTNTTTAGTTTCAACTTATCTAGAGATGATTCAAGTATATGCAGCATCAAACTCATTTCTTCCTCGCTGTCAGCTAGGAGAGCTATATCATCTGCAAAGCGGATGGAGTGAAACTGTTTCCCATTTATCGATATTCCTGTAGTGTATTCTTTCATTTCATCCATTGCAAGTTCAATAAACAAATTAAACAAGTATGGAGACAGAGAGCAACCTTGCCTTACTCCTTGATGATTATATCATAATAGAGTACAAAGGTAATTCGCTTCCACGTAGTGTACCACGGGCAACGTCATAAACAGTTAAAGAATTACTATCATTGGCTGCTGTACTGTCTTTCGATCCCACAGCTATCATGAGCACCATTAACACTAACGACGAAATCAGCCCTTCTCATGGTTAACTGACTCGAGATGTTGGCCCTCAGCTAAACGTCTTACAACTTTATATTGAAGGTATAAGCCTAAAAAAAAGCTACTACCCATCTCGCTTACTACAGGAACTTAAAGCTGATGTCGCTATACTTCAAGAAACCCATGCACCGAATGAACAACAACTACATAAACGAGGGAAAATTAACTGGTTTAGATTAGTTGCAGCCACATATCACAAAAGTTATGGAACCGCTATCTACGTCCAAAATAACATACCCAACTGGAGTCACATATACACTAAAATGATAGAATCCGTATCTATCATAGCTATCAGAAATTCTGGGTGCATCCCATCTGGCCCTGCAGCCTTCCCAGGTTTTAGGTCCTTTAGAGCTGTGGTAATTTCCGCTTCTGAGTAAGGGGCACACAGTTCGTAGATTTGGGTGCATTGTTTTTTAAAGTCAGTAAAGCGTTTTCTTATCTGAGTTGTGTGTCTCTTGCTCGAAGGCATTCTCGATACGTTTACTATGTGGTTAGCAACTTGGTTAGGTGAGATTGATGTATCCTTTCGTCTAGTGTGTTGTTTACCTCCCAATTTCTTGAGTAGGCTCCATGCTTCCCTACTAGAGTGTCTGAAATCAAGGGCTGTCATTGTTTTATTACATTTTTTCTTCCTGGATTTATCAAGGGTGATAAGAAGATCTTCCGCCACATCTATGTTTCCGTTCATATATTCTCGATAAAGGTTTTCGCTTAGTTCGTTCCAGCCAGGGACGTATAATTTCCTATAGACTCTTGGCATGTGTTTTTTAACAATAGCAGTGATGAGTCCCAAAAATCTATTGTAGTTCGAACGTGTAGGTGGGATAAACCGGATGCATTTGTTTAGTTCATTTGCATAGTTTTCCCATGCAGCTTTGTTAAAGTTCCATCTGGGGTAAGGAGTAGAGTTAATTAGTGGGATTTGGAGCCCGATTTCAATTAGGATAGTTCGGTGTTGACTATTTGGGAAGTCGTTCATAACTGTTCGGCTGGCTGCTATGGGTAAGTTGTTTGTTGTTACTGAAACAAAGCAGAGGTCGAGATTATACTCTCTTTTCCATCTACCTGACTTAAATNGCATCGAAAACTAAATGGGCGTTGTTAGTTTCAGCCCATGATACGAGCATCTCTCCGTTTATGTTGTTGTTGGAATACTTCCAAGTCACGTGGTGGCTGTTAAAGTCACCAATGACTATTGTTGGATGGGAGATGTTTCCTAGGACGTGGTTTGGCCATATAGTAGTTGGTGGTTTATACACGTTAATAATTGTGGTCTGTCCGACATTGACTTTGACGATATGGATGTCGTATAGGGTTGATACGCTTTCAAGCTTGATCTCTTCTAGGTTATTTCGGGCGTAAGTAGCTATCCCGTGTGAGCGGTAGTATGTAGCACCGATTATAGTGTATCCGTGTATCTTGCCTCTGGTATTGAGTTGGGTTTCATCTTGAGTGTGGGTTTCTTGGATTGCCACTATGTCGACGTCTTGTTCCCTGAGGATACGGGAGATTTAGTCACTTTTTGATCTGCTAATACCTTCAATATTGATTTGGCAAATGCGTAGGGTAGGCCCTAACTTTCTTGTCCGATGGCCCTGAGAAGGGCCGTTTTTGGGTAGAATCTTTCGATTCGGTTGAGTTCGGTTTGATTGCATGTAACCGGGCCAGGAGAGCGTTATAAGCTAGTTTGGCCACCGAGTTGAAAGATCTTTAGCCGTTCGTCTTAAGAAGACGAATCTTTGCCCGGAGGGTACCACTAGGAGGCGATCTTTCATTACCCCCCAGACCTATCATGTGTCGTACCTATGCGAAGGTTAGACCTAGAACCGTTACTTTCCAGAGAAGGTTCAATTTTGAAAGTGCTAGATGGAATGAGTTTACCAAGATACTAAATATTGAAGTAAAAAGTATCCCACCAACTTCTACCAAATATGAAAAATTCCTTAAAATTGTTCAAAAGATAGCAAGGAAGAGAATTCTAGGGGATGTAGGTAAAACTACATTCCATACTAATAGAAATCTAAAGGAATATGAGAAAGACCCATTTGCAGAGACGAAAATATACTTAGGTGAAAACCTCGTTAGACAGAAAGCAGATAAAAGAAGACTAGGTAAAGACGATAGAAGAGCTAGGTATGACCCAAAATAGTAGTGAAGCCTGGAAGCTACTAATACACTTGAATAATTAAAAGACGTAAACGAAAAAACCATAATACTACTCTGAATCAAATGTATAATCTTACAGTAAACAGCAAAACAAGAAAAAGGAAAAGTGACAATAAAATTAATAGAATAAATCAAGGAGAGTTAGACAATTTTAAAAACCCAGTTACAATGGATGAGCTACAAAGGGCTATTAATGATATGAAATTTAAAAAATCTGTGGGAGTAGATGGCATTTGGGCGGAAGAGATAAAAAAATTTGGACCAATAACTAAACTTTGAACTCTAGTAATGTTTAATGATTGCATAGATACGGAAAGAGTTCCAAAGGTTAAAGCAAAAGTAGTAGCACTCGTCAAACCAGGTAAAGCGGGTAATGATGCAAGTGATTTCCGAATAGTGTCATTGTTGTGCCACATGTATAAATTATTTAAACGAATAATTTTTAATAGAGTCGCACGAGCGATAGATGGAAAAATTATTATGGAACAGGCGGGTTTCCGACCAGGAAGAAGTTGCACGGGCTAGGTATTAAATATGGTAAACCATATCGAGAATGGTTATGAAGGAAAATAATCACTGGCGTTGCATACATAGTGTTACGTATGACATCGTCAATCACCGACTGCTCAGGAAAAAGATCTATGAACTTACGAAAGACGATAAGTTTACAAAAATAAGTAGAGCACTTCTAGAACACCGTATGTTCTATGTTACAGGAGAAAAAAAGCAAGTGGAAAAATAAAACAACGGCCTATCCCAAGGAAGCGTTTTGGCACTGCTACTTTTTAATATTTATACAAATGATCAGTCAAGGAGTTCCACAACGAGACATTTTCTGTACGTTGACGACCTTGCAATAGCCGCATAAGGAGGTAAATTCGAAGATATTGAGGAAACAATCAAGGAATCCTAATGACATTAGCCGAATACTATGAAAAAAATTGTTTAAGACCAAATCCCTACAAGACACAAGTGTGCACTATCATCTTAGAAATCGTGAGGCAAAGAGGAAACTGAACATTGAATGGCAAGGAGTAAAAATAGACCATGTGAATAACCCTAAATACTTCGAAATGAAACTGGACCCTGCTCTAACATATAAAGCACATTACGAAGACACTAGAAAAAAAGTTGCAACACGAAATAATATACTCCAAAAATTAGCAGGGACAAAATAGGGCGCTTGTCCAAATGTACTTCAAATATCCGGTCTAACATTTAATTATTCAGCTGGAGAGTATGCCAATTCAGTATAGCGTTTTTCAGCACATACAAAAAAAATAGACGTAGTCTTGAATAACATAACTAGAATAACTACTGTATGTTTGAAACCCACACCTGTAGGAAAAATACAGATTTTAAGTGGGATTGCTCCACCAGATATCAGAAGAGAAGTAGCACCGATGGTAGAGAGGAAGAAACAGATGAATGACCACAGACCCCGCATGTTTGGTGAAGCTCAAATAAATAGCCGGCAAAAATCTAGAAAACCGTTTATTATTAGTTTAAAACTAGTGAACCCATTACAGAAATTCCAACAGTAACAAGATTACAAAAGTGACAGAAATGAGTCACCGATAACGATAAAAGTATGGGGACATCCGACAGAATTTCTTCCACCAGGATATAACTTACTTTGGCGCATATGGAAGACCATTAACAGAATAAAATCAGAAGTAGGAAGAACTAAAGAAAATATGTGCAAATGGATCATAACTACAGAAGTTTACTGCCAGCTTGGACCTGATAGTCGGCAACGTCGGCACCAAGCCGATATTTAAAAATGCAAATAAATTAAGTGATGTGTGCGCGCGTACAATTTAATAATTTATATTACCTTCGTGATGACGTGTTCCAAAGTAATAAGTAGTTATAACTAGTAATAAGTTCATAAGTAGTAACGGTTAGGTTAGGTACGAAGAACGGCCGTAGGCAAAGTGAACTGCAATCCCGAACGTAGATGGTCACCACCATAGATTTCGGCACGCTTTGGGCTAGGCGGTGGTCGGGGTACCAGTGTGTCGGCGACAGCTGAATGCAATCCAGATTTCCCACACGCAATCCTTAAAATAGACGGATAATTCGAGATAAAGACACTCGCACACAGCAAGCCGACGGTTATCGATGATCATTATATAATATATTAAAATATAATATGGCCTTAATAAATTATGTATTAATTGTTTCATTGGATACAATTCTATAAAATATTCTTTTATTTAATTCAATAAATTCAAAAGTTGTACACTTATTTTGACTTATACTAAATACTTTTAACACTAACCATAGGTACTATATTCAAAAATTAACATGCACTTCAGAAAAATTGTGGCGCTGGTTATACGCGAATTCGTTGCTCGTAGGGTTGGAACCAACCCACGGTCGGTGTCAAAGGAAGAGTATGAAAGTTTTTTGGACACCTTCACTTGCCGATCTCATGTGGTTAAACACATTTTTAAAATTTTATTTGGCCACCCTCCAAAAAGCAAAACAGTTCGAGAGCATGTGGAATGCTGGACAAGAAACAGAAACACATTAGTTGGGGTAACACATAATTTAGTAAATAATTCAAAAGCTAACCTCTTATATTGTACTTATATTATTGTTTCTCCGCCCATATTATAATTATTAATTGAGGGGTTGAGCACAATAATGGCTTATTCCATCAAATGGTTAATGTGAGTAATACACGTTTTCAATTTCTCTGAAAATTTGATTAAAAAAATCAATATTTAAAAACGAATTAAATTTAACTATTGTTTCATATTAAATATTGATACATCTAAGACATAGTTCTAAGAGTTATTTGGGAACAAAACATACAAAATTCCCCAAAAAGCATCTAAGATGCTTATCAAACAATTTGACTATAATGTTATGATAACAACAGTGGCCTATTCCACATACAGCTGTTGAATAGGTCATTGTTGCTTTGAACTGGTGAGCGATGAGGAGACGATTACCGCAGAAAGTCCGAATACCTGGCATCATGCGGCAACCGTTTGCTGAACTAAAACTATGAAAAATTATTTAAAAATAACCCACGGTCCTACAGCTACAAACTCTACGTCCCTGTAAAGGGTAGGTAGTCTGCTATCCTGTGAATAAGTTTTTAGGGATAACATTTGAACTGGCGAGGTTATCAAAAAATAGTTGGTAAAATTATGTGATATTTGTAAAACCATCGGTTTTTGTATGTTCAAAAAATGATTACTCCCAAATAATTTTAAGTACATAAGCGCAATGCACATAATAATTTTTGTTATAATTTGATCTATAAGGAAAAAAGGTTTTAATGCAATGATTAAATTATGTTACCCTAATTATGTTAATAGTGTTACCCCAACTAATGTGTTTCTGTTTCTTGTCCAGCATTCCACATGCTCTCGAACTGTTTTGCTTTTTGGAGGGTGGCCAAATAAAATTTTAAAAATGTGTTTAACCACATGAGATCGGCAAGTGAAGGTGTCCAAAAATTACTGCCGCTAAATACGGGTTTCCAGATACATACACATTGACTGGCATGTCCACTGCATAAACTGCATCGTGTTGTCCATGATTATCAGCGTTAACATTCGAGCAAGCCCCTTCGTTGCCAAAATTGCTTTCGCATACATTACTCTGGCATTTATCTCTTTTTCGCATGGGTGGGAAATTATATCACCGGCAGTCAATTACGGGACGGTTCATTCGCCACTAGGAACGTTTTGCTCCGGTTCATCACGCTTTCGACTATTTATAATTGCAACGTTTTCTCCGGAATCATTGTCTTGAATGAATCGATGAGTATTATTATTTACGTCCTGTTCATTGCATACAGCTACGTTTTGCATTTCACATTGGATATAATCAATCGAAGGTCCGGGAATGCGTTGCACACTTTGACTATTTATAATTGCAACGTTTTCTCCGGAATCATTGTCTTGAATGCATCGATGAGTATTATTATCTACGTCCTGTTCATTGCATACAGCTACGTTTTGCATTTCACATCGGTTATAATCAATCGAAGGTCCGGCAACATTGTCATGTTCGTGGAATTTCCGCCGTACTCGTCTGAATGGGGACAAAGGGCGTAAGTCTTGAACTGCAGGGCGTTGACGTATAGTGACTTCGTACCCTTTAGAACTTGGGTACGTAGGACTTGCGTACTCATCAAGAACTTTTCTTATATCACTGATTGTGTCCTCGTGTGGGTCCACCACATCATCGTTGTATAGATCTGTCCAGTCCGACCAGCTTATGTCGTACGGATGGAAATCGATATCCGTAAACATGAACCTTTTATTTACGACTGTATAACTGTTTTCAAATATTGGCTAAAAGTTGAAGACTTCACCCTGACCGAATTGGCCCAAGCCTGCAAAAGACTTCCCCCCCGGAAAGGCAAGCGGCCCTGATGGTATCCCCAACGAGGTCTTAGCCAAGGTATTCCTCCGAAAGCCTAACACCCTACTCAGTGTCTACAACAACTGCCTGGCAAACACCACCATTCCTTCCCGATGGAAGGAATCCAGACTAGTGCTACTGCACAAAGGCCCCGGCAAACCGACAACCGAACCGTCCAGCTATAGATCGCTGTGTATGCTTGATTCCTCAGGGAAGCTCTTAGAGCGGCTAATCCTGGCTAGACTCGACGCACACCTCGATAATACCGGTCATAGATCACCTAACCAATACGGGTTTCGCCAAGGCAGCTCGACTTCGGACGCTATTAAACGACTGCTGAACGCCGCACACGGCGCAGCTTTAGACAAGAGGAAACGGTCCTCTGCGCATAATACGTGCTTACATGACAGTCTCGGCCGACGCCTCGTCAGTATTGGCCTCAGTGCTACCTGCAGACCTTCTAGCGACAGAAAGGGCTAGAGTTCGGGTTTGCCTGGACGACCATACTGACGTCGTCCCGACCACCGTTAAAAACAGGAGAGAATAATCAGCATCGCAACTTGACAAGCTCGATGGGACCGGTCTGATAAAGCCAGATGGACGCACCGGCTCCTCCCTAACATCGGGTGCTGGTTAACAAAGCCACCGCCAACCCTGACATTCCGACTGACGCAGGTGCTCTCGGGGCACGGATGCTTCCGGAGCTACCTGTAGAGGTTCAACCGGGCAGACGACAGCTACTGCGTATACTGCATCGACCCTGACGACACGGTTGAGCATACGGTTTTGGTTTGCCCAAGATGGCTAAAATAGCTAAAATACACAAACAATAAGTGGGGTTTAGAATGTGATCACGTTTCTGGCTTCAATTCAATACCGGCCGCCGCCGAACGACGCCACGGTCGTATAAATAGGCTGCCGCCGCACGACGGTCCTATAAATAAGCCGCCGGTCGATGCTTGTTCATCATTCTTGCGCTTACTGTCGATTACTGAACGTGTAGTACCGCGCGACCGGTCGCCTTAAACACGTGACTCAGCGTCAGTATTCTCTAACTAATGTAACCTATAGTGTTGGCTAAGTTACTTTTTATAATTAACGTATGTTAGTTACGAGTTACAAAGTAAAATAACTACGTAACGTACGTAACGTTACTTTTTTACTCAAAATTAACTAGTTTCAAAGACGTTACCAGGATTAAACCGTGTTAAAAAATTAAAATATTATTCAGTTATGTTTGAATGTACACCTGATGTGTCTCACAGAGAGCAAATGTCCCAGATTTTTCGATATGTGTACATTTCTGATGGCACTATTTCAATTGAAGAAAATTGTATAGACTTCATCGAAAGTCACGAAAAAACTGGCGAATGATTAGCTTTAGAAATCATAGATAAATTAAACTAAGATCATTTAAAATTAAGTAATTGTAGGGGATAAAGTTACGACAATGCTACCAATATGTTTGGAAAGTATAAAGGTGTGAAAATATGTATTATGCAAATAAATAATTTAGCTATATAAGTGCCATGCAATGCGCATAGCTTAAATTTAGTTGGCAATGACACCGCCAAAGTATGTATGTAAGTATGTATGTAAGTATGTATACGTTAATATGATAACGTTATTTGGGACAGTCCAACAAATTTGTAACTTTTATTCATCCACAGCAAGCAGATGGACCACTTTAATGAAAAGTATTAATATTTCAATAAAGTGTTCTACTCGGTGGTCTGCAAAACAAGATCTGTATCAGAACTTAAACGTAATTTAAAAAATGTATAAAATGTTCCAAAAGAAATATCAGCAAACACAAATTTACCTAGAGGTAATTCTTGGAGCAACAAATCTTTTAAAACATCTTACACGTTCCAGTCGTGTTGGCTGCGACCACGGTGCGAGAAAAACAATGCTATCGAAAATCTTTTTAGATTAAGAGAGGTTCCTACGTCTGCAATCTTAAGTTAGATTTGTATACCTAGTATATTAGTATATTTATAGATTATATTTCACTTTGAAACGCAGATATTAAGATAAGCCGATTATCGATAAAAATAAATTTAAAATACGTTTGTACCGACGCGGGTGCACCATAACGTATGGTTTTCCCCGGTGATAAACACTAAACACTAACACAACACAATACAAAAATAGAATACATCTCGGAATATATAATATACTCTATATACAAGCCATGATGTATACAAGTATAAGACGTCTTAAACCTAGTTGTGGTAATATTATATTTTATAAAGGCAAATGAACTTTTATACATTGGTGGTAAACATGTAAAATCAATGGTCAAATGGATGATGGGAAAATTGTTTTAGGATGAATTATTAAAAGATTTTTCATACACCGGTAAAAAGAGAAAAAAAATTATCTACTCAGGTAACTATATAAAATCACAGAACAACAATCCAGTGTAAGATTTTATATAGTTATACTATTAGGTTGATGGGGTACAAGGAAAAAACCTCTACGTGGTGTACCCCAGGCAACGTCTATAACGGCTAATTTTTCCAAATCCAGGCTCATATGATCTCTACAAAACAAGATAAAAAACGGCCCTTCTCAGGGCCAGCACTGACGATCGCCTCATGTAACACTGAGGGTATAAACTCAAATAAGGAAGAACTGCTTGCTGACTTATGTAAAGAATATTCATGTGACGTGTTATGTGTGCAAGAAACACATAGGAGTGAAAATATGAATAATCCAAGAATCAATGGGATGAAGCTCGTTGCAATACGCCCACACAGGAAGTATGGAAGCGCTATATTTGTTCGTTCCTCAATTGATGTAACGACAAGCCAAATAACAGAGATAGACGACATTGAGATTCTCACTATAGAAGTTGGAAAATGCACTGTGACCTCTATCTACAAACCTCCTAATTCAACATTTGCATTCGAGAAACCAGTTAATTTCGACACTAAAAATATTCACATTATCATAGGAGATTTTAATAGCCACCATACCAACTGGGGTTACGACGAAACAGATAATAATGGCGATAAAGTTGAAGTTTGGGCAGAGTCCAACAGGTTAACACTAATCCATGACCCAAAACTACCACCATCATTCAACAGTGGTAGATGGAAAAAGGGTTATAACCCCGATATAATATTTGTAAGCGATATGATAGCTCCCCAATGTACAAAGGAAATCGGAAGACCCATACCACACACGCAGCATCGACCCATATTGTGCAAAGTTACGGCAGTGATTAAACCATGTGACACCCCATTTTTGAGGAGATATAACTTTCAAAAAGCAGATTGGTACACCTTTACTAAAGCTCTGGATGATGCGGTAACCGCACTGGAACCAGTAAACGAGAACTATGAACCTTTTACAAAGTTAGTAAAAACTATCTCCAGAAAAAATATACCAAGAGGTTGCCGAATAAAGCATATTCCAGGGTTAACACCTGAATTAATAGAAACATTAGAACAATACACCGATAAATATGAGGACGACCCATTCGATGAGGATACGATAGAAAAGGGAGAAGAACTAATGAATCTACTAACTGAGGCGAAAAGGAAACGTTGGTGTGACCTACTAACAGAAGTAGATATGAAAAGGAGTAGTAAGAAAGCATGGAACCTCATTAAGCGCTTAGACAGTAATCCAAGAGAAAAACCAAAGGTACCATTAATAACACCAAACCAAATTGCACACCATCTTCTAACGAACGGTAAAAATAAAATGACAAAACCCAGACCTTTTAAACCGAGGATTATACGAACGGAAAACAATGAAACGCATGAACTTGGAAACCCGATCCTACTCACAGAACTTGATGATGCTATAGAGACACTAAAGAATGCGAAAGCGGCCGGGTTAGATAACATGTTCTCAGAACAGATAAAACACTTTGGAAAAACCACAAGACTATGGCTGTTAAGTCTTTTTAATAATATCAGAAGTACCTTAAAGATCCCGAAGATCTGGAGGAAGGCGAAAGTAATAGCTCTGCTGAAACCAGGTAAGGAACCTGATNCGGCCGGGGAAATCATGTACAGGGCAAATATTAAACCTAACCCAATATATTGAAAATGGTTTCGAAGAGAAGAAAGTTACCGGGATATCCTTTATCGATCTGTCGTCCGCGTACGACACGGTTAACCATGGCTTATTGCTCTCTAAAGTATATCAGATAACCAGAGACTACAAATTTACGCAAATCATTCAAACATTACTGAGTAACCGAAGATTTTTTGTAACACTAGCCGGGAAAAACAGTAGATGGAGAAATATAAGAAATGGGCTACCACAGGGAAGCGTTTTGGCCCCCACGCTTTTTAATATCTACACCAATGATCAACCCATATCTACGGATAACAACATAAAACATTATGTATATGCAGATGATTCGGCAATTGCTGTACAAGAAGATAGTTTTGAAGCAGTGGAAACAAAACTTTCTAAAACACTGGACCGTTTAGGAAACTACTACAGGGCAAATTATCTGAAGCCAAATCCTAGCAAAACCAATGTAAGTGCTTTCCACTTGAGAAACAAGCAGGCCAACAGAAAACTGGTAGTGAAATGGGAAGACGTAGAACTAACTCATTGTGGTACACCCACATATCTAGGCGTGACATTGGATAGAGCACTAACATACAAGACCCATTGCGAAAAAACGAGTAAGAAAATCAATACCCGGAATGGTCTGATACGGAAATTAACGGGATCAGCATGGGGCGCACAACCACATGCGTTACGGGTTTCAGCGTTGGCACTATGCTACTCAGTAGGGGAGTATGCATGCCCGGTCTGGAGAAGCTCTACCCACGCGAAGAAAATAGATATCGCCTTAAATACAACATGTCGACTAATCACAGGATGCCTAAGAAATACACCAATGGACAAAGTTTAC